CTCTAAGTCATACCAAGAAATAATTTAAGGATGCGTGGTCTGCGTTCATAGTTTATCGATAAGCATGGCTTACTCTTTACTTTTTTTACACATGAGTAGGGAAGCCTTCTAACGTGGATAATACTTGTATATCTTTGCTGCATAGTAGCATAGTGTTATTTCTGATACCACTACTTGTTTTCGCCCACATATCTCCAAATCAAAGAAGCATACTATCGAAGTGGAACGAAAGTAGTGACACTTAATGTTTACATCAACTTCTGACAGCGCATACATTCATATTAATGGAATATACGTCCCATTCGAGCACTACGCTTTAGGTTGCATGCCTTAGTCGCGTATGCAACTAATAATTTAGTGATTATAAAATTAATAACTTTGTATCCACACAATGATATAGTTAACCAATAAAGACTATTAATTAAAATAATTACTAGTCAAAACTGAATGTAAGAAATAAAATAATTAAAGTGCAAATAAGTATCAGATCAACTGGGATAGGCAAAATTTTATTTATGAATTTATTATCACTATTACTTTCAATTACTACTATTTATTCATTTAGTATTTATTTCTTTAATATTACCCAACTATTTAAGCATCGTAATTAATTACTAAATTGTCTATCAAATCAAAGAAAGAAATCTGAGAAAGCACATGCAATCATCTACTAATAATATAGTATCGTTCACCTAAAAATTTCAACTTTTAATGATTTATTGAGCGTAATTGCAAATAATCGAATAGCAATTTCTAAGTGGCTGAAACTGAATAGCTATCCACCCAAATAGCGCACAAACACACATGCATTTTTACATAATTGCACACAAGTAACTTGTAAAGCATCTAATGATGGCGTCTCTAGTTATCTCCGAAACCATTACAAAAACCTAGTGGTGTCTGATGCATTTTTCTTCAACTCTAACAAATCTGATCAGATCAGACCAAAAATTCCATCTGTTCCCTTTTTCAGATGAAATATACATTATGCAAAGATAGAGTATTTAAGGGGAATTTCAGGACCAAGATTTGAGCAAACCGTCATAATTCAAGTATAATCATAGAGAGGGTTCAAAGAAACAGAGGCAAAATTCTACAAGTTAAGAACGTATGGAATTCCAATTGATCAAGTTTTCGGAGATAGTAAATTTTGAAATATTTACCCCGCTTTTCTACAAAATTGGCTCCTAAAGTATTAAAAAAATTACACAGCTATTCTATTAAGATGTTATTTGCTAAAATCATTCAAAAAGTGTATCATCGGCTCTACGGCCAGAAAAATGGTAAAACAAATGAGGAGTCCTTGAAATGTGTACATTTTTTCCTGCTTTAAAAAAATAGATTTTTCTACCTAAATCGCAATTAACGAATCTGCCGATGCTACTTTAGATTCGATTTATTATGCTGCTCACCGGTAGATCGGATGGTACATTATAAGATTTTCCGGCAACATGTAGTTCAAACTCTTTTGGCTACGTACTCCCATGCCCAAAACACCGTTCACGGTTCTACTCGCCGTATTGGTCGCATCCGAGGACGGTCCGCCCTCGTTTCGCCATTTCGCCATGACCGTGGATCCAGCAGACAGAGCCGTTGTGCCGAGCAGACGAGCAGTCTCGCAGGTGGATGTCTGTCGACTGGTGTTGGAGAAGGATGCCCGTGGCAAAGGAGTCCTTGCGCAGCCAGCCGACTTGTTGATATGCTGTGAGTTCGAGCCGAATGCCAGCGACAGCTTTGAGAGGCTCAGATTCACGGGCCACTTGTGAAGTATTTGCTTTAGAAGGAAAGTTTTGATAAGAAAGACAAGCAACGCTCCAACTGGAGCAAAATAACCGAGGCATAAAGCCTAATTTATTGGCAAATGTTCTATAGTAGAATGTTCCGAAACACGCAAGATTTTGGTCCTACTCTTAGTTACTAGGACGAATGGTTACATATGTTGTTAACGATAATAGAGTTAGTTATTCATGCATTATCACAATTGATTCCTTGTTTATCTATAACCTTTTGACTCCATTTAGTGAGACCTATTCACACTCGCCGCTGGTTCCGTCATTCCCCACCTACTTTGCTGGGGGTTTTGATTTAGGATCTGTACTATCCTTCTGTCATCTGCCTGGTTCAGTGACTTCATTCTGTCGCCGCCACCATATCTGTGCTATTCGGGGCGTTATGTTCTAGATTCTGCCTCAAGCCAGCCTCAATGAGCAAGCTCCTAAAGTATGGATTCTCAAATAGCATGAAAGCCTTGTCACTGGACCACATGGGCACCGAGTAAATCTCGTAGTCAAGCCTTCACTTCATGGACAACGTCCATGATCAAACTTATCTATTAATAGTCAACTATCAATGGTCTCCATCGCATCTCTCGCTCTTCTATCCCAAGTCTCTTGTGCGCCGACCCCCAAATCTGATCGTTCTACTTGATTTGAATAGGCTCACTGTAGACGTCTCTTCTTAATTTCCGACATTTCCTCTCTGGTCTCTTTATAATTTATTTTCCTTGAATTACAAATATTACCTTGCTACAGTCGTCTTCTTTTTCCCTGATTTTCTCCGAGTTTGCCTAGACAGTATACAAAGTTTTCGCTAATCCTGCATTCTTCAAGTCTCCTGTTCACTAGATTTCTTTCAGCCAGGATATCGACGGCTTCTCATATCTTGCGTTTTCTTGTAGTTTACCATATTCAGCCAGCCTTTCTGTCGATTTCCAGTCGATTTCCTGTACGGTCAGTGCATTGTGTTTCGATATTTTGGATCTTACCGTATTCATTGTTCTGCAGAATATTTGATGTTCCTTGATTCAAAAACTGACATTTCTTACTGTCTCACCAACATACTTCTTGTCACAGCTGCCGTATTTGATACCATAAAACTCCCGAGCAATCCCGATTGTCAAACTTCTCGTGCTGCGTCGGCAAGCTGGTGAAGTGTTGTCTTTTCATTTGTCATCATTGTGATATTCTATCTTATCAGTATGCGTAGTAATTTTTTATAAGATGTATTCACCCAATTTCGTTTAAGGTGATGAAGGACTGGTAGAAGTAGAATTGTCCCACAAATGATACGAGTTGGACTGACGTTTCCATTGAATATTTACATAGCTTTGCATTCCCAAAAGTTGTTATCATCCAGAGTGGACTGCAGTTTCGACCTCGCATTGGTCTTATCAACACTCTCAGCGGGACTCAAACCGCGACAGTGCAGGACGATCAGTCCAACTCATATCATTTGTGGGAAAATTCAACTTCTA